TAGTTTTCATTGCAGCCGCTGAGATAAGCGACAAATAGCATTCTGCAGGCGTATATGGCAGTTTCCAATCTATAACCTCTGTGATCTGTGCTTAAATTTACTGCAAGTATCACACAACTTAAGGCAACCAAACGGGCACAAATGCTCCCATTCAGAGATGCCAGGTCTACCGATTTTTCAGTAGATCTACCGATTTATCAAGGACCCTACCGATCTACCGATACCATGCAGATTTCTACCGAAAAGTAACAAACAAAAATTTAAAAAATTTCCGTCGATTACTTAAAATAATATAGCATATTTCCATTCATGATCAAAGTACGTTGGTAATGCCAGACATTTTATTTGAGCGCACCTCGTATTTTAGAGTTATTTTTCAAACATAAAATGAATCAAGCCTGCCATATAGATCATAAATATGATAAAATTATGTTTCATGGATCCTTCCATAGTGAAATCAGGTTCCCTACAATCTATTTCTGATGTTGCAATGATATTTCCAAATTTAATAAATGATAGTGAATTGCAAGGTCTGGACACAGAATGACGTCTGTTGCGAAATGTTGAAGAAATTAAAAAAATTTCTGGAAATATTGAAGAGTTTTGGAGCCAAGTACAAATATTGAAATATGGAGCTGATACATTCATGTTTCCTATTTTAACCAATTTTATTTGTAACCTGCTTATTCTACCTCACTCATCAGCCAATGTTGAACGGATATTTTCACAGGTTAATCTAATGAAAATTAAGTTGAGAAATAAGCTAAAAAACGAGCACAATTTTAAGTTTAAAAATTTTGAGAATGGCGCATTTTATGGAGCCTTTAATAATGAAAGAAAAATGAGTCTACCGATTTTCTACCGAAAAGTGTCGAGCTTATCTACCGAAAATCGATTTTCGGACCTGGCAACCCTGCTCCCATTAGTTGCAAAGTAAGAGCAAAAAAACCACAATCAACATGCAAACCGAGCAATTAGTACAGTTGATTTAATTATAACATGCATCCAGAGAAATCAGTTACGCGAATAGGACTGCATGCAAAACAACATTCAGCAGTGTTTAACAATTATTTACAACATTCGCGCAATTAATAGTGAACAAGGCGTTTTCAACCCCGAAAACTGCACAATTAATCGAAGGGTTGTAGACAAATATGGTAAACCAATCACAACAAGTCAAGTTTATGATGTAAATTGGACGAATAATGCAACTAAAAGTACAGTGAATTTTAAGAAAAGGCAGCGACATTGAAAAAGCTACATCAAACAGTAAATTTAACTACATCTGGTTGAGTATTTTGATCCGCCAGCAGTCAATTCGCCTTATTAGCATGACAACACACTGCTTCCTTGGTTAACGATGCGTCGTCACATCAACTAATAGGGCGAACTCCAATCACTAGCCATCATCAGATTCAACTGGATTAGCCAATTAAACTAACGATCTTAATATTTCCGGTTAATCGCAGTAATTGCATCTTCTTTAATTGACTAATGCATCGCCACTGATATCGCATAAAACAAACCACCAATACAACTTACCATGAGTGTGTATCCGCATGCACGACGACGTGATATCGGTGGTAATAGTAAAGTACGGTATCCACAGATCTTCAATGTAAGTGTCTCCCAAAGTACCTTTAATCGTTTGATTGAAGTCCCGCCCGCTAAACATCGAAGTCATCGGATAGGTCAGGTCGAGAATCTGGCGCCACCACTGGGTCATTTTCTACAAAATCATTCACAACATGCAAATAAAAGCGTCAAACGGTCTTTAAGCCCGTGTCCCAAGCATCCGTTTATATGATGATACCATATACGATCAGGGGCGGATCCACCTTTAAAGTCAGGGAGGAGTTATGTAGAAAAAACACAGTCTTCTGTTGTTTATGAAATTAGAAAAATGATCGCAAGATTA